GCAAGAAAAAAATCTGTAGCCTTTCAGATGTTGGCCAAAAATGAAAGAAAAACAGGCGCCTTCTCAGTCAGGTCTGGCAGCAGCAGCCACCAGCAAAAGGAGCTCAAGAGGGGTGGCAGCTGGAAATCACTTGGCTTCTGAAGTCCCTGGCACTTTCTGCCTCTAATCCTTCTGTTGCCACCAGCTCCAGAAGGATGTATGTGCAACCTGAAGTTCACTCACATCCTTCCAGGTAGGAAAGACAGTGATGGTTCCAAGGAGCTGCACAGCCTTCAGGCCTCTCTACTCATTCAGGTCTTCAGCTGGGGCTCAGAGTACACTTCTGCTCTCTTTTTTTGGCGTGTCTTGCTTGGTGCTCCTGTTCCTTCTACCTGCTGGTGCTCCCACCATTACCTCTACTGGTAACCCTTTGCTGTCCAGACTGAATGTGTCAAAGCAACACAGCAACAGCTATGCCAGTCCCCACCTCTGTTAATCTGCTCAGCTGGCTGGGACAAGTAATTTCAGAAGTCTTCTTGAGTTATAACTAAGGTAAATTAAGTCAGTAAATCTTTACTGGCATCAGGCTGGTACTGCTAGTCTGGCTTTTCCACAATGGTCTTTCTGTGCTGAGTGAGCACAGATATGTCACTTTGTGGGGAAAGGACCAGCAGCACCGGTGAGCTCATCTGCACTGCACAGAGGGATGGGATAAACCCTCTGTGAACTTCACATGAGGAAATGTCTTGTGGATCCAGTTGTTTCCTCACTTCCCCTTTGCCAAACAAAAGAAAGAATTCAAATGTAAGGTATGTAGTTCTGCAATGAAGGCCTCAGGGTGTGAAATCTTCAGAGGCTGTTTCTGGCAGGTGGAGAAACAACAGGAACTGTGTGCCTATGCTGACTGCCATCAGCTGGACTGCAGCTCTTGTCACTTGGTGATGGGATTAATGCACCATATCTCCATATTCCACCTTATATTCTTTGTGCTCACTTCTGAGAGCCAGGAATCACGTGCTAGATCTACACCTCCCTACAGGATTTTCATGTTAATGTTAGTCCTGAGGAATAGTGAACTGGAAAAGGAGGTTGTAGAAACACATTTCTTGACCATATTCAGCATTATGGAATGATTCAGGAATGGTGAGATGGTGCTTGCTTAACCCCACTTTTGATACTGATGTCATAACCAGACGTAAGTGGGCAATAAAAGTTGTCATCTTCTTAGCAAACACAAGACACTTCTTCCCCTTGAGCTCATCCGTGGCAGAATATCTTTTTGCAGCTGCACCCATCACCCATCTCTGGCCCCGAGGCTGTAAACAGAACAGGCTCAAGCAGTTTGTCTTCTGTGCTCTACAGTCTTTCACTATCAGTGGATGAACATGCTGTCCAGCAACGAGTTCAAAGAGCTGCTGCTGGTTTGCCTTTAATCTTCTGTTTTTCTTTTGGAATACGCAATCAAAAAAACTGGAGGCATTTTTCCTGGCTTAGGGTCCTTTAGCATGATCATGCTGTCCATCTTGCTGAATGTTCTGTAGTATTTTACTGCACTAATGGATGCTCATGTACATCGTTGTAACCCTTTGGTCATAGCCTGTGGTGCTTCATTTTTCTGAGCTCTGCCCATAGGAGATCACAGAATCACAGAGTATTTTAAACTGAAAGGTTGGTCCCTTGCTGTGGCACAGACTTGTAGCTCTGGGACTTTTCCTGGCAATTGAAGTGGCAAATTTCAGAGTCCTCTGTTCAAGACCTAAAGTCAATCAATAGGGAAGGAGAACTTCCCTGAGTGGGTGAATGGCACTGGAATCCTATTTAAATATTGAGGGCAAGATCTCTGGTGTCTAGAAACAGTGGTAACTCTGTGGATTATATCTGTTCCTTGCTCCAGCTTGTATAAGCAATTAGCTAATTTCAGCTCCCTGTTCTGGCAAATCTGTGGAAAATAAGACTAGGAATAAATAGGTTTATTTCTTTTAAAATAAAGTCTTCTCAAACTCCTAGAGAGGTGCACACACCCTCCCCACCCATCCATGCCACCAGCTGCTGCCTCACCTTTATCCCCATTAACAGGCACGGCAGTACCTACATGACGTGGATACAGTTTTGTAAGTTTGATCGTGGTAGGGCTGATGAACTCTCCTTCAAAACACAAAATGTGGATTCAGGACACATTGTCCACCCCCACCCCCCAAAAAAAAAAAAAAGAAAAAAGAAAAAAAAAGCTGCTGTTCTGTGGCATTTGTTCTATAAACCCAGATAAAAATCTTGTTCTTACTTTTCAAGTTTATATTTACAAAGGGTGGAAAAAGAGGCATAATGACAGTTCAATGAATGTATGCCATTAGTCCTGGAGATAATCAAAAGCCTGATAAGTCTCTAATCTTGTAAAAAAGAATTAGAAAGCACTGAAACATCTTTTACAATCTGTAAACCTTTTAATGAGATGCTGCATTCTTAGAGGAGGAGCCATGGAAAGGAGCAGTGCCAGAGGACATATTCTCAGCAGTTTTCATCACTGGACTTCTTGTGTGATATTATTCTTGGCAAAAACTCGAATCCAAAGTCATCAGTGTTGTTTTCAAAATTTGTCCTCCTATCAATGTATAAAACTATTCTAAGAATTTGTGGATATAAATTAGGAGAGCTTTTACATCTCTACCCTTTTCTTGTAAGTATCATATATTTAAAGCACTGCTTCATTGCTTCAGCTTTAATGCTTGCAGACCTTACTAATTTCTTCATAGTTATTCCTGCACGTGTGAAAATCATGCCAGTATACAATATCTATTATTCAAGATAAAAAAAACCCAAAAAACAAAGCAAACATGAAATTAATAGAAGGCAACATTTCCAAGGTGTTTAAAAAGTAATAATGGGGCCAGTTTCAGAGAAATATATATTTTTTTAAATCTGTAGAAAATTCTTGTTTCAATGCTGTCTCTAACTTTGCATTTTTCTAGGTAAAGTGCAGTTTATGTGTTGTCAGTTATTACCAGGAAGTGTCAATGAAACAGCTTTGGAGGATGCAGTGACTAACAGACATTGTCCAGATTTTGAGGACCTTAAAAAGAAGAGTTCATTCTTGAACTCAGAGCAAAAGTGTAACATACAAGAGCAAAATGTCCTAATGTCTGCTACTCCTGCAGGGACCTGGGAACCAGCTGGAGCTGGTGGGAAGCATGGTGGGAAGGAATAGTAATAAATATTGCTTCTCTTCCTCTCCAGAGACCCAAAGAAAACTGAATTTGTCCTCTGGAAAGGAGGCCGGGGGCAGCAGTCTGTCACAGGGGGAGAGTTAAGGCTGGGTGAGAACTTTTGTCTGGCTCCCAAAAAAGACTGAACCAATGAAGAAGCCAGAGCTGAACTGCGCTAAATAAATCCTGGAGGGTTGGGGGAGAAGTCCTGGCAGGCAGTCAGAAGGAGGGTGAAAAAAATGAGACTATTTGTGTCAGGGTTGGAAATGAAGCTTCTTTTTTTTTTTTTTAATTTATTTTTATTTTTATTTTTATTTTGTTTAAGTTTGAACAGGACAAGAAGCACCAAGAAGCAGTGGTTGCCAGCACAGGTTAGCCAGCAGCTGCACTGCTTGGGTACGTGCATGCAAGCACGAACATCCCGAGTCCCTTGAGCTGTCTTTTGGCAGCTGGGCTGGGGAGGGGGGCAGAGGGGGGTGAGGCAGTCAGGGTGCTGCACGCCCTGCCTGGGCTCTGGTGCAGGCAGAGGTGTGGGCTGTCAAGGGGCCAGTGCAGCAGCAAGTGGGACAGCCCCATGGGATGTCACCCCAGGGCAGATGCCACAGAGGGAACACCCCAAGGTGATTTCCTGCAGACTCTGCTCCCGCATGTGATCAACATTTAATAAATGCCTGCAGGCGGGCTGATTCCCAATGCACTGAGACTGAAAGTCTTCAAGACTGAAAATGTGTTTAAGAACCCTAAGTAGGGGGAACTTTTTTGCTTGTCTGAGGAGCTCTGCTTTGCACCAGTCTGTGGGCAGGTGGGAGAGGTGCAGTGAATTACCCCATGAGACACAAGAAACAGAGTCAGTGTTAGGCTGGGGACAGGGACAAGGTCCTGCTGTCAAACCAGTCCTGAATGTAGGTTCTAGGAATTAAGAAATTTTTTTACCCTTCTCCAGAAAATAAGTTGTTCAAAATAGGAGATGCACTTGAGTAAACTCAGCAAACACAGAGAGGTCAGGGAGACAGAGCAAAGTGGAACTTCTGCACATTTTCCCCATCTTCAGATAAAGCCGTGTTGGTATACACAAGTACAACGACTGCTGAACTTTGGGTCCTTTATTTATAAAACAATATACGAATCTTAATCCCTGGACACACTGACGTAACTGAATGTCATACTTTCCAAATATAATGGATTACATTCCCATCATAAAATAAGTGCATTCCAGCAGTGAGCCCCCCAGCAAATAACAGAGCTCCAACAGCTGGGGAAGCTGGGGCAAGAGGTACAACAATTGGGTTATGTTGCTGAAGCCCAAAAGCAAAGTTTTTGCTGGCAGCATTCTAGGAAAACCTATTATAAATGCAATGCTACCAAAAAAGTGCTCTTTTGCTGCATGCAAAAGACATTTAAAAAATCCTGGGTAAACAAATATACTCTTTTCCATATGACCTTTTCTTGAATGTCTTCAAAAGTATATTGTCTTTTCAGTTTAACACAATATTTGTCAGCTTTTATTTATAGCTTAAAAGAAAAGCCTTCCTCAAACTGTCACCAAAAATGCCCTTCTATAGGCATGCTCTCAGGAGAAAGGCTTTTTTGTCTGAGTGTCACCCGGGGTTCAAATACATTTTACTGTAACTAGGCTAGAAGTGGCTCCAGCAATCATGGCATCTTGAATCAGCTGGACACATATCACTCAGGCCTAAGACCTTTTTTAATCTGAATTATGTGAAAATAAGAGTTAAATGCAATAGAGAACCAAGCAGCAATGGTTTGCTCTCATGCACTCTCTCATTTTTTATTTATTTTATAAAACAAGCAAGGACTAAATTCTTTAAAGAACATTTTTATTCTTATCTTATGTGTAGGGGACAAAAGCAATATTTGCAGCAGTATGATAAAACAGCATATTACCCACATGACTCAGCATAGGGAAACTTTAACTTGGAAACTCTAATGAAAGGCCATGGTGCTACACAAACTGGTTTTACTCTGTGGGATATTGAAAAAGAAAAATGGTAATGTCACACTGATAGTACAAATTCAGCATAATGGAAACAGGCATGACCCAGGGCAGATTACAGATTGCAGTACATTTGAGATCTCCTTTGCTGAGAGTCTGAGAGATTCCTACAACTTCATGGAGTATCTTCAAACGTAGCACAGGACTTTATTTCCCAATCTGCTCTTCAGTGACTTACTGAGTTGGAAAGAGACAAATATGCGCAGGTTGACAAAATGTAGTCCTCTATTAAATCCATATTTACTTCAGCTGTCAGATGAAGGAGACTGGTCCCAGGTATAGATCCCTGAAGGAGCTCAACATTTGGTGTCATCATGAGTTAACACTTCAGACAGAGTTGATATGCTTATTAATGGCTGCTGTTGAAGGTTACATATATTTTATGTTTTGTGACTAAATAATATTATATACAAAAGTGAGGCAAAACCCCTGAGAGTCTGCTTTTGCATGTTTTTTTGTTGCTTATGATTGTACACCTCTCGGTTTTGGAAGCTTCACAGTTCACTGATTCACAACCCAACGGGAGGTTTTGCCTCTTGATGAAACAGTCATTAAGCCAGTCTGTTGAGTTCAGCCTTATCTTTTGCATCTTTGGGTTGGCTCTTTCCATTTTTCTCTTTGTGTTTCATGTGGAAAAACACACCCGCTAAAATGGCACCTGAAAAACAGAGAGTGTTTGTCTGTAAAGGGAAAACTTTCTGAAAAGATGTTCCAGCAAGGGCCATGACACTGCTCTGTAATATCCACAGTGCTTTGCCTCTTGAACAGAAGCAAACACCTTAGAGGAAGGGCTGTGCAGCATGGCACTAAGAGCATGGACCCAAGGCACTGCTGGGCAGGATCAGATGCCTTGGGCCTCAGAGGTCTTCACCCCAAAAGAAAACTTTTCCTCTAGGATCTGACCAGGTGGCAAAGTGTCTATTTTAGCCCCCTCCCTCTGAGCAATGATTTATCATGTTTGTCTTGAGATGTAGTCCCTCTTTTATATACATACATACATATATATATATATATATATATAAAATGTATAATTTGATCTTTTAAAATCATGATGAGCTTGATACACTGTATATAAATTTATTTCCTCTTTATCAGTGTTGGAATGAATATGAGTGATGTAAACCTGCAAAGCTGAAATAGGTGAATAAAATGATAACTATAAGCTACAGGTATAGATAACGTAAGTAGGAAGCTTCACAATTTTCACTGTAATCTGGATGCCCAAGGTTCACATCCCCTCCCTGACAGGCATAGGGCAGTAAGTAGCAATGAAATGACATTATGCTACAAGTTCAGCAGTTTCTTCTGTTCTAGCTGGTTGTTGTGCCATTGGATGTTTTTCTTACAACCAAAAACTCAGAAGTTTGCAGCCATGATGATACACAATCATGGGATCTTCCCTCTTTCACTCATCCTGCAACATGTATGAGAAATCTTCAACCAACAAGTGAATTAGTGTCAGAAATGCAGCAGCACCACCATATCTCAGAGATCTGGCTTCAAATCAACCAAGAAGAAGTGACTTACCAATTATGAGCAGGACCCCAAGTAGAATCCCAATTGCCTGTCCAACAGTTGGCCAGGAATGCTGACGGTCTATTTCAATAAAACATGAATTTTCACTGGAACATTTGCAGATGCTTACTGCAAAAGGAAATGCCATGAGGTTAATGGGAAGTTTAGTAGTGACATTTGGTTATTTATAAATGTAAATGCTGTCTTGAAGTTAGTAGTTCTGTGCATAGAATACCTTTAAGATTCACTTTGTTTTCCAAAGGTGGATTTCCATTGTCATTAAGTATAATTGGAACATCATACACCTTCTCTTCAAAGTTACCATGTTTCGGGGACAGGTAAGCATGAGTAGCTGTAAGTAGGAAATGGGACATTCGTGTCAGCACAAGAAAGATAGTTCAACATTCATACCAGCTGCAAGTGTTCTTTTTTTTAAGGCTGCTTTGCACATGATAGTAATTCCTGTTTTCCTCTATGTCTGCCAAGATCTCATTGGTTTGCAGACATTGAGTAAAAAGGGAATACCTCGAAGCTTAGTCTGGCCTTCAGCATAATATGACTAAAAAATTTCCTTCCTAATTTCTACACCAGACCAAATCTGATCTTGGGTAGTGCTACACTGATAGCATCCCATCTAGACCAGGAATAGTCCCCTATACTCCTAGAGACCATAATTAGCTTAAATTGTTCCCAAAGAAATGTAGGACAGACCATCCTTTTAGTGAACTTACACTGTCACATCTAAGACTCTTTAAAAACTGGAATAGGTAGTAATGATGAAAGGTTTGTTGATGTAAGTATCTTGTCTTCAGAATGAATGAAGATTACAATGAAAAAGCGAGCATGTATTTTATTTTCTCCTAATGCTCTCTCACCCTTTAAACATTTTCAGCTCAGGGACTTGAGCAAGATGTAATTTCTTGCTTTGAACTTGTAGAAAATCTCTGCACAGACAACACCCTGTGACAGTAAGTTCCCAAGTCAACTACTTCCTCATTCTATCTGCACTGGAAATAACTCCACAAGCTTCACTTGAGGAGAAGTGCCCTGGAAGAGAGAGCAAAGGATGAACCCTTGGCCACCCTGACCATAGCATTCGTCATTTTATATCTCTCTATTGTATTTTTCCCTACTGTCTTCCAAGATAAAAAGTAATGGCTCACTTTGCTGCTCCTATACATTCCCTATTATCAGGCCACTCTGTAACTCCTATTATCCTTGTCACCCTATCTAAACCAGTTTCCAGTTATACTGCATTTTTATGGAGATAGAGAGACTGGAGTTCAAAACTTGAAGAAATTATGGATTTATACAGGGGCATAATGATGTCCTCAGATTTCTTCTCCTGTTGTTTCCTGATAATTCTCAATATTTGATCTATTTTTCTGAATACTGCTGATAAATTGACCTCACATTTCCATGGAGCTGCTTACAGTTCTCCTTCCTGACTCATAATGGCCAGCTCAGCACCCATGATTTCAAAAGTGAATTTGGGAGTCCAGGTTTCACTAGCACCTGTGAATTTTATTGTTCAACCAACTCAGTTTTGGAAGACTGTTCTGAAATTCTTCATGCTTGGTTCCTACTTGAATAACTTTGTACAATGAGTAAACTTTGCCACCTCATTGCACACTCACATGTATTGAGTTGTGCAGATCTCAGAAAAAACCTTTGGAAAACCACACATGAACTCCCCTCACTGCAAGAGCTAACTGTTTACTCCAAGTCCTAAATTTTAAATGATTATTTATTCTTTCATAACTTGAAATTTGTGGCAACCCAGCTTTCTCTAGTGGGATAATTCATCAAAAATGTTTTATTAATTCAGACAGGCTTTATCAACCAAGCACTTATTCATGTACTTACTGTCCCCTTCAAAAGGTCCATTCACTATGTTTGGCAGGACTTCCTTTTGCACATGAAATGTCAGAAATGTGCAGTTTGCAAACTGCTCTATTTATTTTTCAGCAGCGATTTGTGCTAGTTAAACACGTATATATTTCATATTTACAGGCTTCTCTCAAAAATACTCATGAAATTATAGCTTGCAACATACTAGGTTTTATCTCCTGCAAAAAATAATTAATGACTTTGGTGCTCTCAACAACCCAATTTTTTTCTATATGGAAGACTGGTTATGCAATAATAAGAGTGAAAAGGAATTCTGTAATTCTTCATATTCACCAGAGTACCAAGTAAGTCCCATATCACTGTAAGAATGGCTGTATTAGCTTACCATTGTATTTTGAGATTTGCCAATTACTTCTTGTGTTCGCCTCATCCGGAAGGGAAAAAGTAAATTTTGAATAAAAAAGGAGTTCATCAGCATCAGTAGCTTGAATAAGAGTTCTCTCTCCTCCACTGACTGGGTAGCAGAAGAAAGTAGGATTATCCGTAGCTATATGTGGGTGGTTGTCATTCACATCACGTAACTGTAGAACCAAGAATGCTCTGGATTTCTGAGTTGCATTATCTGTCGAGTTTAACAGAATGCAGAGTTACATGCACATCTTGGATTCACACTCTGGGCTGTTGCATTTGCAGCTATCACTGTCAGACAGGCACTGAAAGGTGGTGTTCTGTCTGAAGGTTGCAGAAACAAGGTCTCAGGAGGTCCTGGGGGATTTGTGGTAGCTGCCACTACTTTTTAACGAGCATGGTTTATTTATCACCAGCTCTTGCTAACTACAGAACACTAGCAAGGGAAAGGAGGCAGATCATATCTAATAATCTGTCATATCCGTCATATCTGGCAAGCAGTCACATCCAAAGTGGCCAGTGCTCTTTAGAGCACTCTTAAGCATGAAATGCCTTGAGTTTCCCACCCCTCTTCTATGTACAGGAAATGCAACCCAAAACTGAAAGATTTTAATGGCTGGAACTAGAAGTTCTAATATATTTCAGACTTGAGAGAGCATTCGTTTTAACTATAATAAAATGAAATTCTGTAGAAGGTTACAAACTACTCTCCAAGTTTGTTTTCAGGAAGCCTAACCATATCTAGGAGAAACACTAAAATCCTAATAGCTGTAGAGAAAAAAAGTAGCAGAAAATAGTGAAAACAGTGAAAAAATTAGAATCTTCTCTATATGTCACGTGGTTGAAGCAAATATAAGACCAGGCCCAACTTTATGAAAGCTATTTTAATCCGTGTTACCTACAGCATTGAGATTTCTGCAAGAAATTTAAATTCTTAAGAAATATATACTTCTAAGGATACACCACAGGATGTGTATCTGAGGTTACGTGTTTCAGTACTTTTCATGGGTTTAGTCATGATAGGTATGATAAGTTGTCATAAAAGAGTAAGGACAGGGGATTCCTCTGTGTGTATATTTAGTTGTTTCATCACTTACTTAGCTCTGATGCAACAACCTCTATTGAGTATATTTCTTCTTTTTCTCGATCCAAAAGGGAAGCAGTGTATATCTCTCCAGTGGCTGAATCAATTCTCAGCCATTTTCTCACATCACCTTCCAAGGAGTATCTTTGGAAAGAAATAGGGGAAAAAAAATCACATATACCTTCCAAATTGGGAAAAAAATCCAACAAAGCAAATACTTCTTTGTTGATTTTATGCAAGAAGCTTGATTACAGTTCTACTCCAAGAGAGAGTTCTTGGAAGAGTTGCAGTACTACAGTACTACAGGTAACCAGGAGACAGAGGAAGAGAGGCCAAAATCATCCAGAGTAAGAGTGAGAGCAGAACTATGGACATGCCATCACTACTGCAGTCTGTGTCCTTGCAATTCCACTTTCCTTCTAAATGGGGAACCTGGGATGGCACTAAGATTTTAGTCCAGAAGTGGGATTTGTCCAAACCCCGTGCCCATCTCACCCCATGACATCTCCCACATCTTGGTTTTAATGGGGGCACAAGCCCAGGGCTGAGGGGCAGAGGGGTCAGTGCAGCCAGGCACCCTATTGTGCATGCAGAAGGACCAGGACCCCAAGGAAAGCCATGGTGAATATCTTCTGCCAGTCTGGAGCAGCCTGTAACTATCATTGGGGCAGCCTTGGAACTGAGAGTGCTTTAAGCATCACCACATCATTGCATTTATATCATTGTTTAAAAAATCACCAAGGTCCCTGGGTATTTACTAACACAAATTTAACCATGAACATATGACCCAGTTAAAGCACATGCAATTGCTTGAGAAGAAGTGGCCCAACCTTCTCATTCAATGTTTTTGGTCTTTCAGTACTCTTTACAGTAGAAACAGCATGCTTGTACATCTTCTACTTTTTATACTTTTTATTTTATGCCCTTTAACCTATTTTTAGCAGAAATGTGATTTACGTATATTTGAATTCCTGTCATATGTCTCTGCCATCATCCCCCAGGGCTTCTGGACTATGTGGCTTGCTTTCAAACTAGTTTGACAGAAGGCCAAACATGATAAGTTCCCAAAAGTTAGGCACAAGTAGAAAGCCAGATGAGAAATCTCTGGGAATAAGAATCTGCGGGAGGTCTAAGAGTCATATTGTGCAACTCCATTAACCACTTGGTGATTTGCTGAATTTTAGTTAAATTTCAAGAATTGTTTATTATGAGTTGATCTGTTCAGCATTCCAGCCAGGAACTGTACAGCAAAAGTCACAAATGATTCTTCTATCTGATTCTAGTGTGTAAAGTACATTTACACCATGCAACACAGCACAGGAGCTGTCTTGCACAGAGCTTTGCATTCACAATAGAAAGAGGTGTGTCATCTCTGACAGCTAGGAAAGGAAATTAATTGTTTTTCAGTTGTAGACTTGAGATTGTGTATTTTGGTGGAGAAAAAGTTGAGGTTGTGTATTTTAGTGGTTTTGTGCATGACATGAAAAGCAGCTCTTGTCCTACTGGTTCAGGGGTACACAATACATGCTTCATTTTTTTTAGGCATTATGAACATGGAACCTTGTTATTCTCAGTCCAGCTCCACCTTTTTTCTGCAGATATAAATTAGCCTGCTTCCCTTGTGGTTTTCTGTTTCAAGGCTGAAGTTTGTCACAGCACAGAGAGAAATCTGGTTAGAAAAGCACTACCCAGCAGTCTGCTGCAGGTGGGTCGCTGATCCCCTCCCACCACACATCCACCTTCTACTAGGAGATAAGACTTCTGTAAAAACAGTATTTTTCCAAATGCCAAGTACTGGGCATATTTTCCTTGCACCTCCTTTAGAACAATTTTTGAAACCCTAAATTCAATTAATTAATCACAGTCACTCCTTTTTACCGTACAGAATCCCCTTCAGGATCACGGGCCCCCACTGTCATGACCAAGGTATTGACAGGAATGTCTTCAGACACTTCTGTTTTGTAAACTGGCGTCTGGAATGCAGGTGGCTCATCCACATTTGTTACATAAACGTTAAATGTGGCAAGAGAGCTCGAGTTGTACTTCACGCCTGACACCAGTGGTTCGGGGTTTGTGGCGTTGATCACCAGGTTGTACACAGGTGTTGTTTCAAAATCAAGAGCCTGGATGAATTAGAAAAAAAAAAAGGGTTCTTGAAACAATGGCCCTGCTGCTGTGGGGAGCACCAATGAGAAACTACAAAGTCTCCCTCTTCTCAGGGAGGAGATTGCATCCCAAATGCAGGCAAAATAAGGGAGAGCTGTCAGCAGAAAATGATACTGGGAATGGTCAATTTGAATGAAACCATATGCCTGTTTAGAGACCTCCTCAGCAACTGCATTTTCTAATAATGTTGCCACCTGCCCAACTAAGTTTAATAACAATATCCTGTTTACCGAAATAGTATTTATAGCTCTGTATGAGAAGGCCTCAAATGACCTCCGGGTGCCAAAAGTCATGTGAGGATTGTTACACCACAGACTTTCTCACAATTGCCTCCTTGGGAAAAAGATGAGTCTGATGCTGAAGATGGTCCACCAAAAACTCCTCTGCCTGCACTTGGGCTGGTGGCAGCACAAGAACTGGATGCACACAGTATGGCACAGTATGAGTGATAGGACTTCTGGACACATAGTCTAAGCACCTTAGAGAAAGCTAATTTCAAAGGGAGAGCAATTTTGTTATTGATGGATGCAGCAAAAAGCATTCCTTATATTCCTGTCTCCAGCGTTCAGCATACGGGCTGTATCACCCACTGCAGCACACGCTGTCCTTGGCTTGGTCACAGTTCATGTTTCCCTCATCAGGAACAAACTGTGTCTCCATGCTGACATTGACACATGCTGGCTACACTTGCACCTTGTTTTGCAAAGGCCACTAATGGCCAGAGAACTGCAGGGTGGAGAATCGTCACAGCCCACCACTCCCACCACAGCTCATGGAAGCATTAGATGGCTTTCTCTTGTCCAGAAATCCTGCTGCAAAATCACTCAAATAATGTTGGTTTGTTTGGGGATTTTTTTGTCTTTATAGTACATAAAGGCCTGCTTCATTGGTCAGAACCTGCTCTTCTGGAGAAGCAGCCAGCAGCAGAGCCAGTGGAGGGAGCTTCTGGTGGTGGTGGGTGGTGGGCAAAGGCAGGAGCACTGCACAGGCACAGAGCCTGAGTCCAAAAGTGGAGCCTCTGTACCATGCTTAGGGTGTCCCCACCCCACTGCCAGTCAACACCCTCCCCACAAATCATTACCAGGGCAGTAACTGTGTGTGACAAATAAGCAACACTAAAGGAGAAGAATAAAATCCATCTATTCACCTTGTTAAGCCTGACGAACCCTCGGTTTGTTTCAGAGTCTGTATCTATGATGAACGTGTTGTTTGGATCGCCTTCCTTCACTTGGTAAATGATGAGGGAGCTTCCCGTGGCAGGCTCATCTCCATCAGTAGCTTGAATTTCTAATATCAGAGTTCCTATTGGGGTATTTTCTGCCAAAGTCACATTGTCATACTGAAGAGAGAGAGGTGTCATTGAAACATGACGTACCGAGCACCATTTGTGAATAAACCTTCAGGACAGCCACAAGCTTGTGACCCACATGCATGGATGTATTTTAACCCACAGCAGTCACATGAAGGAGGGAAGCTTCTTAGCCACACATTTATTATAGGTGATAGGATCTCTGTCAGTGCCACTAGCACAGCACCAGTCCCAAATCTTTAGCTCCTCTGTCAAAACCAGCCCATGATCACACAGTAGGGATAGTACAGCTTCTCTGTACCCTGTCAGCACCCTGGCCACTCACTGTTAAAGATTTGATTGCTTCATGCACCATAAGCTGTTGTCACATTGGCATCTCCTGACTCTTTAATGTGTGCCCGTGCCAGAAGCCTCACCTTGACACCAGGTTCTGGACTGAGACCTTGAGGTGAGATGGTGTAAAACCTGCTGTGCAGGCACCTTGTCTGCATGTGACTGTGCCGCCACTGCCATCAACAATAAGTGAGCTGGGCAATGCAAAACCCAACACAGCTTCCCTGAAAGGACAACTATTCCTGATAGCCAGACAGCTCTGAGAGCCCAGCACCTACATGGCCTGCAGGAGCAGTGGGAGCTGGTACCTCTGTGTAAATACTTCAGTCACTCAGTGTCTGCCAGGAGGCTTGGACCATCAGGCAGAAGTCAGGAAATGTCTGTAGGTCTCTGCCAGATGCCAGAACCTTCACCAGAGAAAAGGCAAGAGCCTGACACCCATCCTGGAATCAGGTATGTGTTTGGCCATGGGTCTCTAGACCACTATTTCTGGCCAAACCACATAGGGCATTTGATTCCCATTCACCTTCTGGCTGTTTTGGGTGCACTAGTGCTGTCTTTGGAAAGGTACTCGGGAGATGCCAGCTTTTTTCCATTTAGCTGTTTGATTGATTTTAAAGCCTTTTCTTCCCCCTTTCCCTCCAGAACCTGTATTTCTGGAATAAACTGCTCTAACAGAATAATTTCTTTCTAGACAATTAGTTTTCCACTGAGCAAATTACCTTATATTTCATAATTCGCTGTTAGTCTGTCCCATTCCTCACTGTCTAGATAGAGCTTCTATGCAGACTTGCAGCAATATTTTGCCTTTATCTTCCCTAGTGGGTTACTCTGTTACTTGTTTTGTAAATATCTGGCTTCCCATTGACATTCTATAGATATTGAAGGTATGCTCAAACACTTCTCAAGTTATTGGAATATACAAAATAGTGTTAAAAATACTCACATTTGATTTTTCAAAGATGGGAATTTCATCATTGATGTCAATGACATGTACTTCCACATCACAGATGGTTTGGAATTCTGCATGGAAAGAGACAAACAATGTCACACCAGCCTTTCTACCAAAAATAACTCTCCTCCAGAAGGGTTCACTGTGAGCAAGAGTGAGGGCTCCCAGATTGCCCAATCTAAGCACAAAGTTGAGAAAAGCACTTTACTCGGGTATCTCAGTCAATGACAACTTCACTCTCTATCTTACCATTGATCTTCCCAATTTCTTCAGCACCATACCATCCTGTTTCATTTCCCTCACTTTTTAAAACCATATCTGTTCACCAGGAAAATGATAGCCATGAATTGTGTTAGCCATCTCAGTGTCACTTTCCCATGTCAAAAAGTAACCCCTGGGTTGTTAATGCTCTCCTGTCCTCTTGGTCATCGGGCAGCACCCTTAGTTTTGTTACAGCCAGACTTAGACTTCAGATCTATGTGAATCTAACCACTACCTGAGCAGGGGCACCCATAGCAATGGCAGGTTGTGATTTTAAAAGCATAATATAGCTATATATAGATGGATTTTAGTGTTTTAATGAACGTACTTCATGAGTTCAAAGTTAAGGAAAATTCTAAACAACATAGTTCAGAGGGAATTCAAATAAGCATCCAAAACAAATCACCAGCTTCTCCCTCTGGAAGGTTTTCCATAATCTGCCAAAATGATGCCATTTCATTTTACAGACATGTCACACTGCTTTCTTTTCATGCCAGTTCCTTCATGCATAAGTTTTGTCTGACTGTAGGGACTCCAGCACAAAGCTCTAAGCTTTGTATGGAGTTTGATTTTCTTTCCATTCAGTGAATCACGAAGGAGTCCTGGCAATTTACGCAAGGGATAAGATTATTTTTGAAGTTTAATTTCAGATTCAATTTCTCTTACTGTTTTAAAATCTTATCTGGACTGTCTGAGCAGCTGTGTTTAATTTCTTGATTATTTTTTCAGTTAAGTCCTTTGAAAGATCTGGGGGGAAACCACAATTATGATCTCTTCATTTTTTCCCCCTGTGGAAGGAAATCTCTTACTGAAGTACTTGTTAACAAGCTTCCCAATTTAGCCACATTCTGTCCTAGAGCTGGTTCCCTTCCATGCTTGCATTATGAATCATGATTAATCTCCCTGCATCTTAAGAATAAGGCAAGTACCATGCCAGAGCAAGACAGCTCTCAGTGCTACTGCCTGTTCAGCAAATCCTTCTTGTCTCCCCACATCCCTTAGACACAAGTCATGCCAGTGAGAACAGAGCTATTCCAATGGATAACAGCAGGCATTACGTACGTGGATCTGACACCAGGACCTTCAAGGAATACTTGGCTGAATCTCGCTTGCTTAAGGAACGGCCGGTTAATTGCAAAGTCCCGGTGTCTTGCTGAATATAGAAGAGATTATTTGAGGGATATTCAGGTTCCTGACTTTGGATTTGGAACCGCAGACGAGAGTTAAAGGTGTTCTCTTCATCCCTGTCCGTAGCAAGCACGGTGCCAATATTACTTCCTGTAGCAGAGCAGAGATCAGAGTCAGACTATAGACAATGCAGTGGTCCCATTTCTCCACAGAATTACACGGTGACAACACTGATACCAGTGCAAAGAGTACAGGGTCAATAAAAATAAAGCTGCATGGAAAACAATTCAATGGACACAATCATTTCACTTCTGGGAGTTTTTCCTTTAGCATCCCAACATGGTTTGGGGTCAGGCCGGTCCAAAAGACTGAAACAGAAGACTCTTCAGTCCTAAAACCAAATGACTGATGTCAAGATATTGGGCAGATTTTGGTAATGGTCCATTGAAGTCAAAGGCATTATGCTGGAGGAGCAGCTGGATGAGGGAAAATGGGCTCATACCACTTTAAGAACAGTATTTCTTATCTTGGTAATAAAAGAGGTGTTTTTCTTTACACAGTCTAAGCAGCTATCCAAATCTGTGGGAAAATGCAGTTGTATATTCTAAATAAAACATTATTTTTAAAATATGTGGTTTGGGTCGGTCTTTCTCAGGTTCTTGAAATCTTTTCCACAGGAATTATTGAAGGGGAAACAGGAGGGCTATTTGCACATGAAAATATTTCCCTGGGACAGGCACATTTTAATCTTTTGGATCAGAATTTCCAGCTTCATTCACACACAGCTGGAAACAACGGGACTACAAAGAGGTGTATAAATTAACATAAGCTCTTTTCTTACCTCCCTGTTCATTTTCTTGAACTTCAATTACAGTGAGGTCCTGCTGGCACACAGGGGGATTGTCATTGATGTCTTCCACAATAACATAAATTTGCAAAGGCTTGTCCACCAGTTCTCCTGTGCTATCTTTTGACACCACAAAGAATGTATACTGCAATAAAAATATAACAATTGGATGGTTTAAATGTCCACTGTGAAAATATTTTGCATTTTAGTATGTAACTATGGAAATATGAAATATCTTCTCATGAGTTTGTTCAGTATTTTCTCTCTGTTTAAATCAGAAGTCTTCCATTACCCCTTAGTTTCTGAGGCCTGAGTTCTCAAAAGGTTTTAAAATCCGTGGTCTCCAAGGTCTGAAGTAGATCTGAAACCTCCAGATCTCGGACACTCCACACTTCCCACTGCCTACCTCTTACTTGTGCACCTACAGCCCTGCCATAGCTGTACATTGTATATATGCTGTGGGCAGTGACTGCTGCTGCAGACCCACTCTAGGATGAGAACCTGAAGGCTGTTTACAGTATAGCAGGTGGATGAACTTTCACATATATCACATCATTTCTAAAAAAAAGTGACAAGAAAAAAACTTTTATTTATGCTCCCCTTCCCCGTTCCCCTTCCTTTCTACTGAGCTTTCTCATATTTACTCCTACACCAATAATTAGCTTCCTGCTGTGACTTCTGCCATCAGTGAAGTTTTATGTGTTTACTTACACTATCCTTTTCTTCCCTGTCCAGTGGTTCAGTCACATAAATATCCCCATCCTTACTGATGGAAAATGGGAGCCTTGGCAGCTTTTCTTTTTCAAAAAGGTCATAAATTACATCTGGTTCATTTGACTGCACCTAAAAAAAACCAAACCAAAAAATAAGTCAGGATAAGAAGTCAGAAGTGTAGGCTGAGACTTAACAGGGACAATTTCTGGACTACAAACAAAAACAATCACATTCCTGTTAGCTTTGTAAACCAGAAAATTAACAGTTTGGCAGGTTCTTGTGAGAAACTGCAGAAAATCAGACTGATAATCCACCTCTGCTCTCTAAATTGTCTGGTGAAGTCACTTTACCTCAATTTCTCCATCTGTCCAGATGGGTTACAACACTTACCTTTTTATAAATGGGTTTTGTGATAAGAAATAAGTAGTGATTATTAGAAAAAAAGGCACTATTTTCATTTGAATATCTTGATACTACTTATTTCTGTCTCCTTACACTCTCTATTTCTTCCTGTTGTTTTGTTTCATGTAATTCAGAGAAGTGGAACAACAAAGCAACACTAAATTAGGAGGAGCAGTCAACTCCCTCCAGGACAGAGAGGCCCTGCAGAAAGATCTTGATAAACTATAGAGATGGGCAATCACCAACTGTATGAAGTTTAACAAAGGTAAATGCCAGATTCTGCACCTGGGATGAGGCAATCCTGGATGTACAGACAGCCTGGGAAATGAGAGGCTGGAGAGCAGAGCCACAGAAAGGGACCTGGGGGTCCTGGTCAGTGGAAAGTTGAATGTGAGTCAGCAATGCCCTGGCAGCCAGGAGGGCCAACCCTGTCCTGGGGGGCATCAGACACAGCATCACCAGCTGGGCAAGGGAAGGGATTGTCCTGCTCTGCTCTGAGCTGGGGCAGCCTCACCTTGAGTATTGTGTGCAGTTTTGGGCACATAACAATATAGAAAATTAAGCTATTAGAGAATGTCCAAAGGAGGGCCACGAGGATGATGAAGGGTTTGGAGGGGAAGCCTTAGTAGCAGCAGTTGAGGACACTTCATTTGTTCAGCCTGGAGGAGACTTGAGGGGAGACCTCAACATCCTCATGAGGGGAGGCAGAGGGGCAGGCACTGATCTCATCACTTTCATGACCAGGGGCAGGACTTGAGGAAGCTCAGTTGGGAGAAGTCTATGTTAGATAGCAAGAAAAGGTTTTGCAGCCAGAGGGTGGTTGGGCACTGGAACAGGCTCCCCAGGGAAGTGATCACAGCATCAACCCTTCACAAGTTCAAGAATTATTTGGATAGTGCTCTCAGGCACATGGTGTGACTTTTGGGGTGTCCTGCACAGGGCCAGGAGTCAAGGGATCCTGATGAGCCTCTTCCAATACAGCATATTCTATGATTCTGTGATTCTGTGAAAACAAATACCTGATACCTATCTGTAAATAGGTGCATGTACACTCTTTACATTCATCAAAGCTTATGAAGAAGGCTCTTTTCTGGGGTGCCACACATTTAAAATGAAATTAAGTACACAGACTGGCAAACTAATGGAGCCAGTAATAACGTTTATGTTCTATACAGCAGCAACTCCATTTCATTTTCCCCTAGGCAGAATCAACATGCCATTGTCTACCACATGAAATTTATATACAAGTGACCTCAAAACGGGTGCACCCTTACATGTCAGTCTTCCTTCCACCTGCTTTCAGTCTGGACTTCCTTGGGCTGTCACTGCGGCCAGTGGGAATAGCACCAAGCTAGTTACTCTTGTGAACAGGATCCGTGGAATCCTGCCATGTTCAAGGGATGACAGCATTGGGGGTGTCATTGCCAAGGCATTTTTCAAAGTCAAATATTTCTGAAAGGCTGTTGGCCTGTTAGTTAATATGTACTGATGTGTACACTGCTATTGGTCTGCAGTTATCAGCAAAATATTTTGTGCTTGAATAGTGAAAAGAGGAATACGGTGAGAACACAGGATATGAAGGAGGGTGCTTCATTCCTGTGCTGCATGATACAAAACTGGTCACAGCAGGTGTCCCTGAATGTGGGGGACTGCCCACAGCAGGACTGTTGTGGAGCTGGTCCCCTTCCCTGCTCTTCTGCAGCTGGAAGAAGACAATCTCAAAATAAGCTCCAACAAAGTCTTGGTTTGCTCAAAGCCTGGAGCATCCATGACTGGATTTTGCTCCCAAACTGAAAGGCAAAGTCCAGTCACTCTAGTGTTTGTATTGACTGTGTCTCAGTCACCTTCAAACTATTAACTTTCATTCTAAGAAAAAGTCAGTGAGACCTCCATTGGCAAACATTTCCAAAGGATGCCATATTAAAAAAATAACTGGGAGGTGTCAAAGTCCTTCTGAAGGACCTGGTGTTGAATGCAGGGGGGACGCCTTCACAGTTAGTTGTGAGGAAACAATTGTGTGGCACAAGGAGAAGTTCAGGGAGTGTGGTCAAGGACCCAACCTTGGTGATGTTGACAGGGTGGACCTGGGTTGAGTTTTCTTTGATGTAGATAGTGGAGGGAGCTTTCCACAGGCTCTCCATCACAGTGATGACCACATCAACACTGCTGGCGAAAGCATTCGTTGTCGTCCCTCCCATGTCCTTCACGGACACAACAAGTGTGAAGGTGTCCTGCTTTAGAGGATCCAAGTAGTAAGAGCCTAGAGACAAAGCAAAGAGTCAAGAGAAATGACACAGAGGCTGTGGGGGTTGTTCTTCTGCCCATTGCCTCCTGAATGCACAGTGGTTTTTTAGCTGCTTCACACTTCTTCCTCAGATGGTCCTTTGGAACAAACCTCAGCAAGCCACTTCCTCTGGGTTCTCTGAGTGATTCAGCATAGCATCGTGTGAATGGAATCATATGAGGCCTCTGTGCTGTGGTCTCATTTCGTGCATCACTGAACAGCCTCTCCCCAGTTAGGCACCTGTTCAGCCCAGCAGAATAGATGGGTGTTTATAAATAATTGCAATTTAGTGGGGATCACATGTCCAGCTGAGTTTTCTCTGCATTTTTCATGTTACTGCTTTTGGGTTTCTAGATTTCAAGGCAGAGAATTAATCCCAAAATATGACACAGTATAGTTCTGAAGGCCAGAGGGTCTATCTCTCTTCTCGGTGTACTTTTTGATCTCAATCTCCATTTCTGCTAGCTTCCCTTGAATTTGGTGGGACAAAAAAACCAAGTTCCCCAAAACCAAGGCTTAAGTGGAGTGTGTCCCACTGACTTAATTTATTAAGAGTGTAGCATCAGACCTGTGTTGTTGTTTTATTCCTGTTAACACCCCAGAACTCATGCTTGCTCTTTGCAAACAAGAATCTTTTTACCTACCTGTCCTGGTTGGTGAGATTGCTCCAGTTGCATTATCAATCTGGAAAAGCATTTCTTCAAAATATTTGGGAAAATGATGTAAAATACTGTATGACAGCTTTGCGTGGGGAGTTGTAGGATCATCACGGTCAGTGGCATGGACATACATGAAGGGTTTGCCTGTTTGGATTGGAGAAGAAACAGTGCTAAGAGGAGAGACTGAACCTTAACACATAATCCATTTGAGCAGAGCTCTCAAACCAGAGAAGAAACTTATGGGGAGCTACCATTGCTCCATAATGCATCTCTCATGGGAAGCTGTGTGCACAGGTTACACTGCTGAATGCAATCCCACAGCTCAGCCCTCCACCAGCTCTTCTTAGTAGAATCACAATAGGTGTGGTGACCAGTTGATGAAGAAGGTGACAGAGTTAAATCAGCAGATAGTTATCTATCACACAGCAGTGCCTGAACCCAGAATTCAGCTTATGTGATCTCTCCTTAAGGCCACTCTGCAGTTTCTTGCACAAATCAGTTAAACCCAAAGCACCTTGATAAAAGTGGCATATGGCCTGTGACACAGATATAATAAAAGAACAATCATACAGTGAAAAAAATGGAAATACACAGTAATGTAACTCAACTTTTACCTTTTGAGCACCAGTGCAACATTCAAAATCTTTTTGACTTAGATGCAGTTATGAATACAGTAATATGTTTCAAAATTATTTTCTGACCCCATGGAGGTTTACATGTATATTCTTTAGCAAAAGTTTCCTCTTGAGTCCATAGCCACAGCAATAACAGCTGTATGAGTCCTTTGTTTTATTTCCAAGATGTAAGTCTCAAACTGCTCTTTGACACTTGCATGACTCTTGGACTGGATCACTGCAATCCATAATCTAAGACTCTCTTCTGAATGCTAAGGTTCAGCCCATGTTCTGAGAAGCATCAGTCATGGTAAGCACACACCCCATATCTACCCTGGTACTTTATTTCACTGATATGTGAAGGTTCAGATAGTCTTAGCATTCTCTTTGTGTATAGTCCTTGGTAGCCTTTAAATTTTAAACCCCTTCTAGCATAAGGGGTTTTCTTTCAGAGCAATGAAGAGAGCCTGTCAACTGATACTTGCAAAGAATAAGTAATAAAAAATATTTCTGATTGCACTCATCCCAAACCAATCTTTTTCTAGCTTGTATAGCAGCCACTTTACCTTCCTGCTTAATTTACCTACCTTCCTATTAACGATAATATTTAATTTAATTATGGTGGTAATTACCTGGACGAGAGTTCTGCCTCACTACTCCAAAGTACTCTGTCTGGTTAAATTCTGGTGGGTTGTCATTGATATCTTCCACATATATTGTAACAGCATATGGACCTTTAACTGTGCTTCCACTTTCATCCAGACTTTCCACCTGATTTGAAAAAAAAAGAAGGAGTAGCAAAGAAATATTCTCATGCAGATCAGCTAAACGGTGTAAATTAATATCAGGGTGTCAGATGCCAGGTCACTTTTACTGCAATGTAAATCTGATGAGAGCCATCACTGGGTAGCTCCACACACAAGGACAAATTTGGCACTGTAGCTCCCTGACAAAAATTTGCCACAGTAGATAATGCCAACAAAACAAAATAACCCACTCCTGTTTCTGATGACTTCTCTCAGAGGACAATTTCCCTTTTCCAGTTTCAGCAGACTACTTGTACTTTTGCACAGCTTAGAATTCGTGTTTTTCTTTAAACAGAAACATACGCTTTCTAATAAACAAGGAGAAAATCGAACATGATATAGCATTTATAACCAATTGCTATTATAAATAGAAATCAGATAAATAGTCTGATATAAGGGTTAGCAAAGAAAAATTAATTCTTTTTTCTATTGACTTTTTTCAAACAATCTGACTTATTTTTCAGCCTTCTTTAAAGCACCAAGTATATATTATATCTGTCACACTTCATTTTATTTGCACATAATAGATTAAATCACAATTTATGCCTAACCAAGCAAAATCTTTTCTTTCTGTCATCACTTCTTGTCTATAAATGATTCATATGCTTAGGGTTATTAACTTCTGGGACTAGAAAACGGTCCTCTCTAATTCCAATCCAAGGGTGCTTTAGAGCTGAGAACACGAAACCATGAAACCTGAAGTGCTAGACTTTGGAAAGGCAGCTAAGTCTGGCTAAAAAATCATCATGTACTTTGTCTATTCAGATACTGATCCTCTCATGATCACCTCCTTCTCAGCTGCTAGTGCCCCAGAAAAAGACAACACCATTTTTGACATGGTTCAAGAGGACAAGGCTATACTGAGACCCAAAGACTGCCTATCCCCTGCTCCATTCTCAACAGAGTTCACACTAGTGAGATCCTCATGAAAAGGGTGTAATAGCAGGAGAAGCACACAAAGCTTTTTCCTCTCTTAGAGTCCAACATCTGCCAAACAGCTTTCTGCTGTTACCTTACAGAGGTTAGATCTGTGCCTCTCTGCCTAAATGTCTTTCATTCACACTGTTTCACAGAGTCACAGAATATTCTGAGTTGGAAGTGACCCACAAGGATCATCAAGTCCAACCCTGAATTGAAAGGCCCATACAGGGATCAAACCTTGGCATTATGAGCACCATGCTCTAACCAACTGAGCTAATTTCAGTTTGTCACCATGTATACTATAAACTTTCTAAATTATTACAATAGTTTGTTTTTCCACTCCAGACATGGAATCACCCTATCAGCCTTCGGGGATAACATGAGAAGCTCATTCATGAGGCTAGATTTTACTTCCAGTCAATTATTCCCCTCATATTAGCAGAGTTAAAGGGTTGGTGTTGACATCACAATTTTGGTTTTCTCAGCATAGCCTTCCTCTGCTAAGGAGCATTTTCCTGTTCAGTCTTTGAGAGCTACAAAAACTTATGTCTTCCAGCAAATCTTGATATTGAAAATGAAAAAGCTGCCTGTAAACCTAGGCGAAATAAAGGATTCAAAATTTCAACATATTTCTCTTAATATCAGGTTTACCAAAAGACGGTGAATTTGAATACTTCTCCCTTCCTATTTTTCATTGAGTTTTTACCTGCAGCTTGTGCACTTGTTTGGTCTCCCAGTCCAGAGACCCATTGATATACAGGATGCCTTTCCTTGGGTCAATGTCAATAATTCCAGCTTTTTCACCAGACACTCTGAAACTCACAGCAGGTGACTCAAGTGTGAACTATAATGGCAAAAATAAAACAGAGGGAAAAATCATTATTTTTTCAGTGTTTTCACCATAATAAAAATAATTTCATGCTTTTGTGACTTTAAAAATCTATTGCCAACAGTGTGTTTGGCTGGGAGAATGATATTCCAAGAGTCTGATCAAATAAGTCGGCGCTTTTCTGATCCTCACCAGAGGAGTTTTCACATTATTTCCTGAATGCTGCAAGAAATCCCAACTGCAGTTTGTTTCCAAAGCAAATGTCTGCTTAGGACAGGCTTTGTCTGAACACAGGAATGGAAAAAAATGACACACATCCTCCATTTGCCTGGGAGCTGGATCTGTCCTTCTGTGGTTATGGCTTTGGGAGGAAAACCTCAGAGTCAAAGGAAAATGATGACACAAGTTACATGGAAAAAAATTCTCCAGGAATGTTGATTTTATTAATCCCTGTCTTAGGATATCCTAAGACAGGGATTAATGTGTTTAAAATTGTGTTTGAGAGAGGGTTGTCTCCTGCTCTTTGCATGAAGACTCTTGAATTCCCAGAGAGAGGAATTAAAAATTAGTTTCAGATCCTCCTGAGGGACTGTTCTTCCCACCAGCACAGAGACAACACTTCATATGTGGTCTCTGTGTGCAGGCTGTGGGGTTTTCAACCAGAGAGGATGACAAAAGATGCTTGATTACCTGGTGAAGGATGCGTGGACCCCCTCCTTCTTGAACAAAGAAGTCCATGTCCTGCAGAGGCCCACTCACACTCAGGCACTCCAGATTAAGCCATATAGCCTGTGAGAGAAAGGGGGGGATGGAGGAGAGCAGCTGAGGGATGTCTGCTGCCACCCCACACAAACAGCAGCTCCCCACCACTGAGACTCCTGCAAGCTATTTTGTTATAGTATAATGGCAGAGATTCTTCCAGGTTTGCACTGAACATCTCCAGGTTCTTTTGTGCACATAATTTTTAAAAGCAGTGTGATTTATTAATAAATTAGAGAACAATGACTTGTGCCCTGCCCTTTTCTGACCACTACATAATTAAATGAGATTGGAGCTACCTTTAAGAGCAAACAGGAGAAGAAAATAGATGAATGTGGACTGAGAGCAAAAGGGAATTCATAAAATCATTGCTGGATGTCCTCTGTGTCCCCATCCAGGAGCCACAAAGCCCTGTGAAAACAAGTGTGTCTAGAAACTAAACATCACACCTGGGGATGGGGAGGTGCTGTGGCTACATCCTTTGTAATTTCCCGAGTAAATCAAATCTTTTTTGTGTGGGAATGAGGTAGTCCTCCCTGGCTCCCTACACCAACCCCCTCAGTGCCACAGCCATCTAGGCAAGCCACTTGAGCCCTGTGCCTTCACATCAATTGCATGTGAATGCAAACCACAGAGAACAAACAAGTCTTTCAGATCTTTGGCTTTTACCTTATAGCAAAAATGTCATACAAATCTGCCTTAGCCTCTGTTTTCTTCCTAGTGGCTAACAATTACTTAACATCATGATTTTTTCTGCCAAATTTTAATGAATTTTATAACCACACACTCCCCAGTGCGTAAAGACCTCCACGGTCCTGCCCTAACATCTCAGGGCTGTTCTTGCTTCCAAACGAAAAAATCAAAGCAAAAATGAGCCTCTCAGGGCAGGCTTTGCACAAAAGAAAATTCACACTATATTTCAGATAATCAATCTGTTTCTTCAAAGGCAAGACCAAGCTTCCCCAGACTCCTTCTCTTCATCACCTATCTTGATAACACTGAGGATCTGCCAGTCAGAATCAGGGCTCCATTATTTGGCTGCACAAGTTTCTTCTCTTCCATAGTAAAAATTAATTTATTTTGCTTTACAGATTTAGAGTACCATTGCCACCCTGTCCATCACACCACAGAGTTGAGTGTATGTTCTCTGCTGCATGACTTTTCCTCTGGATTTGATCCTATTGCTGCTGGGACAGCTATTCAATTTCTCACAGAAAAGCACAATCTGCACATTACCAAGGGAAATCTTAATTCTGCCTATGACAAAAACATAGCTAAGCTCAGCACAATTCACCCTAAAGCACTGCTGTGCCTGAGTGTGTGTCACAAGTAATGTTTCAATAATTCCATATTGTTCATAATAATAGCCAGAATGCTGTCCCGCTCGCCTACAAAGCTTTGTGACTGCTTTTGAAAACAGGACAAGCAGAGAGCTGGGGAAGGAGAAGGAGGGATGCTAGTGAACATTAATGGCAGCAGAATAATATCCACAAAGCAATCTGATAGCTGTGCATCCAGGAAAATGCACTTTGCAGCTACCTTTTAATACTTTTGCAAAATGCTGACCGCTGGTCTCTGCCAGGGACCAGATATCAGGACCCTGAATCTGACCTACTGTGGCTATTCCCATGTCACACAGATTGGCATAGCCTGGCTTCTGCAGGGTTTTCCTGGGGCCATTTTGTGGGCAGATTTTGCTTTATCATGTTCCCTGCCATGGAGGAACAAAGGCTGATGCTATAAAACCTAACAGTTCAAAGTGCAGCCCATGAAGGGAGTGAGCGATATCACTCCTGTCGATTAAAATTACTTTATGTGGACCATAAATATTTCCAAGCATATTTCTACAGCATGAATCACTATTCAGGAGCCTGAAAGCAAAGAGGCTTTATGTTCTGGTCCATATCCATTGGCATCTCTTCTGAAGATGGCTATAATTCCTGCAGAGTGGCTTCATGGCGGCTGCCACTGCCACAAGCAGCAGCTTGTGAAATGGGAAGGGTAAAGGAGGTGCTCACTGTGGCACCCCTCAAGATCTTAAATTCTGAGGCATTTTTTACTGAACTTGAATTTGATGCATTTTTTTCAATCTTTTCTGTTAATTTCAATTGTAAAGTAGAAGTCACCACTGCTGTAGCCTTTACAAACCTCAGTAAATCTATTGAATTTAATACATAAGGTCCATAAAGAGCACAATTAATACCTTTCAGTTCCAGTCCTCTGAAAAGGGATTCACAGAAACCAAATAATGAGGATACATAATTAATATACACAATTTAAACTATGAGCCGTTAGATGTCTTAGAATACATTTAATATGTCAGCACATGCATGGATTATAATGCAGAACATGATACTGATGTTTTCACTCTTTGGTGATTTGTTGCAGTATGTTTAAATCTTTTCTATCACAAAAATCATGTATTGGAAACAGTGATATCTAAAGAGGAAGTAGAAGAGGCAAAACCAGTAAATTAGTGCCTTCTAGGCTTTTTGAAGTTTTTTTCCCGATGACTGAGATGTCTTCTTAATTTACTGTGGGGTGACGCTCATGGGGACACACTCCCACAGCCAGAGTGACAGCCACTCTGCTGGCACACCCCATGGATTAGAGCTCCGACACTCACAATCAACCTTTGACATTTGCTCACAGATAAACAAAGAAAAACCTGTAACTCACCGAGTGAATGAGAAGCAGAAATTGAAGTCCACACAGCTTAAGCATACTGGAATATGTTTTGCTTCCTGCAAAGAGACAACAGTCACTTTAGCCCTGTAGAGCTGGCCCAGTCTATTTGCACATGAAGGCAACCACTGAGTTTTTCTGAAGCTCAGGAAGAGAGCTGAGGAGTGAGCCCCGAAGGAGCAGGTGCAGCTCTGCCCAAGATAGGTGAGACCACTGGTAGCCCTGGGCTGCCAAGGAGGGCTGTGCCCATCAGGTCGCGCCTAATGGTGCAAGAGATGCAACATGTGAGAACTCCAAAGAGCTGTCAAAGATTGAACCTGGCACAAGAATTCAAGACATACAAATGCACTGTTATGCTGAACACATTTCCGTTTCTGCTTCACTGAAAGCAATGAGACATTCTCAGGAAATGCCATAACCACAGGACAAAAGTCTTTGCAGAGAACATCCTGAGGTGTCTGTCTGTCTTCCAGTTCGAAAAACCAACAGTAGGTTGCAGAGGCAAAGGAAGCCTATGGCATCTGCACCCCCTAAAACAACATGACTACAGGAAACAAAATTTCCAAGTCCAAGGAACACTCTCTGCCTCCGTTTTCAAAGAAATGTTGACCACACACTTCTAAAATTTATGATACATCCTCCTGAAAACTAGATGGCTTTCTCAAAATGCAATCCTACTTCCTCACTGCCTTTAGATTTTAACAAAGAGGAGGAGGCCGATTCTGGAAAGAGGTGAAGCTGGCTGTCTTGGGGTGACTTTATGATGCTTGTATCCCCAATCATTTGTTTTGTTGGTGTTGAATATTGAGTTCTGCAGCTTTAAGGCTGGTTCCAGGAGTGAAGGGGGAGAGAAGAGGTGCAGAGTTTGTTACCAGAGACTGCACCTGCTCCACCACATCCTTCACACAGACTGTGCTGTCTGCAGTGGACAGCAGGAGAGAGCTCTCCTTTGCTCTTGATTTTTTTTCTGGCCAGCTGAGGCAAAGAAGCTCCCTGGACTGTGGTAGTTTTTTTTTTTTTCTTGAAATTGTTTAAACCTGCTCTGGACTGAAAACCCAAAAAAGCACCAGGACCTCACACCTTTGTCCCACTAGGCCTGGCCTGGGCTGTGGCATTTCCCAGCGCCGGAGGGACTGAGAACAGACTGAGTGAGGCAGGCAACCCACAGAAGGGACTCTGCTGAATTTGTCATCTCTTCAGAGCAGTGAGAGGTTTTGCTGTTTTGTATTCATTTTTGTGCTGGGAAGTGCTTTGCTGTTAAAGAAACAGTTTTTTTCCACTTCTCTCTGAGGAAATATTTCCTCAAACTTGTTGGGGGAGGGACTGCTTGAATCTGTTTCCTAGAGGGACCCTATTCAGAGGTTTCCTCCCAGATTTGCCCTAAGCTTGGACACTGACACACTGTGCTGCCATCTTCAGTGGTGCTTCATGTTATACGGCTTACACCTACAGAAATCTTTCCCCAGCCATGGAGGGCCCCAATGGGGAGAACACAGTGGGGAAGCACAGCTTCCTCCAGATGCCTTCCTGCTTGTGCTTCCCATCATATACCATTTCTTCCCCCACTCCTTTTCTTTCCTCAATGGCTGAACAAAAAGGAGACCTGTAAATAAAGAAACTGCTACCCACACTGCTGTTCTCTCCAGCACTCATTCTAGGACTCATTCTCTGCCACAGGACTTTATCTTCCAAATCCCATTCTGAGCTGTGTTTATGTACTGTGTGTGCAATTACAGTTTGAAAGTGCTGGGCTCTTTTCTTGGGCTGGCGATAACTATGTGGGTACTGGAAGAAAATAATATGACACACCTTTGAAACCAGAAGTGATCAGGAAAATCATTAAATTTGTCAGGAGACAAGGGCTGAAATTGAGTCCCCTACAGATGCTTGACTGGGTCCCTCACAGACCTCCTGAAGCCAGAGGAGGTGGCACAGGAGAAGACACTTGAATCCTCCTGGAAGGACGCTTCAAACCAAAACTGTCACTGATATTCTGGTTATGCAATCAATGAAAATTCTTTCAGTTCCTCTGCCTGTACAACCTCTCCCCACCCCCCCACACCCCTCCTGCCACTCTCTTCTGAATATATTGGCCAGTTCCAGCTGCATTTAGTAGCCATGTGGGAACTTCAAACAACTCATTCCTTATTAATTTGGAGGGGAGGGTGGGACAGAGTACCCAAGGTGTTCCCTCTCCATCCTGTAAGGCTGCAGTCTGTGCCCAGGGGCTCCCTGCAGGGTGTTGTCTGCCCCTCTGGAGGAGGCATGGCTGGAGGTGCCCCTCTGTCAGCCAGCAGTGGAGGAACACCAGGGAGCTAAAAATACTGGGCGAGGCATCAAAACGGAGGAAAAACTGTATGGGGTGGTCTAGGGTACCATGGTCTGGATTCACAGAAAAAGGAAGACCTACCAGGGAGAGAAGAAAGTTTCAGGGACACATCCAGCCTTAGTTTTGGGACAGAAAATGCTGAAAAATTAGTTGCTAAATGTGACTGTGTCAAGCCCAGGTTCTCTTGTCCAGATCTGACTACCAAATGCAGCTGTGGAAATGCAGCCATTTCACAGTTTGTATAACAAGTGCCTTTGATGTTCCCTTCTCTTTGAACATGAACAAAATTTCCTTATGTCATTACATTTACAGTGCCTATTGCAAGTCTTGATCAGTCCTCGAACATTTAGTTTTGGATGGAAACTCTTACCAGGTCTCATGAACCATCTCACTGCCAAGGACCGAAGCCCCAGAATCCATACTCCTCTGTCACTCAGAATAGAATTCCAGTATATATATATAGATTCACATAAAAGTTTTCAGTAACCGGCAGTTTCAGAATTAGAATAACATCATCTTAACAAAAAGCAGCTTAAGATCTGAGCTGAGGACTGGAGCCATATTTTCTCCTTCGTTTCTTAGCTTTGTCTCAGTGCTATATCCCTAATAATCCCCCATGTTTCCCATGACTGAAGAGAAATCTCTAGGATAACCATCATACAAATATTCCAGTGACTTTCAATAATAAACATTCGGAGAAAAAAGAATATTCCCGGAGATTAAAGATCAGTAACAATCACAAGTATTTGGTTCCATGGGAAAAGAAATATTATTTTCTTTAGTTGATTGATTTCAGATGTTCAAATTCAGCAAAGAGAAAAGAGAGGAAATTGATCCAAATCAAATATTAACCAGACTAAGCCTTAGCACAGCAGTCATCCATTTTACAGGGACAGCTGAGATCCTAACCCTGCCTGAAAATCCTTTAGCAAAACCCCCACTTCAGCTTTTAAAATCTTTCTGTGAAATGACAGTTAGATCATCCCTTACCTGTAACATGAAAAGCTTATTTTGCTCTAAAAATGGTTCTTTCTTTCAGCTGTGGGAATCACCTTTGCACAGGTGGGTGATGTCTGTCTGTGCTTATCCAGTTTATAGTTCCTCAGAGTTGCCCTCAGAGATTCAGCAGCTCAAACATTAACTGCATGGGCAATAATTGATTCTAATGACTAGGTGTGGTATGAAACACCACCTGTAAGGAAGCAAGGTAACTCCAAGGCAATTTATAATCTTCAGTATTTTTACATCCTTCATTATTTTCTTTCTGATTTAATTTTTTTCAGCTGGGCTGTGAGAAAAGAACATGCTGGGCATGGGTTGGAGCCATAGGGGAAAGACAGCCTTTCTGTAGGAGAGCAGGTGGAGAGGAGAGGGCATGAGCCTTGGGTGGACAGCATGTTTGCTACCTGCAGGAATAATTCACATTCAGAAGACAAGAATTTTGACAAAAAGGTGGCTTATTTTCACAGCAGATCCTTTCATAGGAAGGACCCAGCTGAGTTATGAAAATAATTAATCAGTCCTCTTATTGGAAAGTTCAAATTCTATCTGAGCTCTGCTAAAAATTTACTTTGGGTAACTTTGGGTAAATCACTCTGTCTGCCCCTTTCCGGATACTTATCTCATAATGGATGCAATCATTCCTTTCCCTTGTGTGGCATCTTTCATGTCTGTTTATGTTTGCAGCCTTTCAAGGGAACCTGTCCCCACTAGTCTCTGCATTACAGTTGCAGTAAAGGGAACTGAAATCAATTGGGCTGTAAAGGACAATGGTAAAACAAATAATAAATAAAATATATTTGGAAAAAAATACGGGTTTTTTTAATTGCAGTTCTTAAAATGTTATGCTTTTTGTATCTCACTTTTTATTTCAGAAGTTTTGGACAGGCTTATTTTATTGTCTTGAGAAATGTTACTTTTCATCCAGGTTCTAACTTCTGCTTTCAATTTCCTCAGTCTGTCAGATTGCTCTTGAACATTGTTAAATTATTTGTGCAGCACATAATTTTCTGAATTACGCATCTTAAGAAAGAAGTGTTTAGAATTGATTCAGCTCTAAGGTGTACAGCTCTGGGAAAAGTTAGGCCTTCTGTTTGTGTTTCAGATCACATTTTTCCCTAGAAATTAGTGTTTGTTTCTCCAGGAAAAACCCTCTAGGCTATGCTTTCAGCATGCTTTAAAACACAAGTGTTCTTAGAATGATTCAGACTTTCACAAAGCTGTCTGCTAGCAGTGAGTAATCTTTAGAGCACAGCTCAAAACCAGTTTTGAATAAAGCATTAGAACTTGTTGCTGATGATTTCTAAATAAATATAATATGGGGAGGGAAATTAACTTTCTTGGAAATAGGTTGATTTTAAGCGACCTACATGCAAATTAACTGTGTAGTAGTTGGATATGAATGAGCAGTACTTTCAACATGAAGTAATAATTTTAAAAAGTGAGACTTCAGAACCAAATTCACATACACAAATTCCTGATGACATTTTTTGTCCTCCTTCACATGACATGCGCAGAGTAACTCAAGTTCTGATGTCGGAAGTGTGATCCCTATAAACAAGTCAAGCATTTGTCTTTCAAGTGCTAGTGTCTCTTCTTGGAAGTTCAATTACTAGGAAGTGCGGTGTATTACTTGAAGTACAAATACACAAATATGAGGTATCTAGGATGCCTAATTGCATGTTCCCATTATTTAAAATCAGAGGTGAGCCTGTCATACCCAGTGTCTTTCTCTAGCTGAAAGTTTCCCAGGCACAGAGCAACTGCTTGCAGGTTCAACTGCACAGGAGAAAAAAAAATCTCCCATGTCAAACACATTACAAAGTCCAGAAGCACTTAAGGCTTTACAACAGTCATAACATGGTGCCACAGATAAAACCACAAGAAGAAACTCAGCAGTGAGATTGGGTCCTTGAGCCAGCTGTTTCTCTGAGTAAATCTAATGAAAAAAAGGCAAACGTCCAGGTGTTTATCGTGTGAATCATTGTTCAACGAGTCAGTTTTTCCAGAAACAACTCTTCTCATATCATTAGTCACATCCTTTCCACCCTTCCCATTTATCAGCTTTGTCATTTCTCCCTCACTCCTTTTTAATTTTTCCTTTTTGTCTTTTTACTTTTACTCCTGGTTTCAAGTCAGCTGATATACCTCTTCCACTTCCCAGACTAGCTGGAACTGCCTGACCTCAGCTTCTTCCCCTTTCTGTTTGTTTAGAAAATATTTATTTTATGGATCTATTAGGGTATAATAATTTCACAACATAATTAATGTGTGTCAAAATGAGATAGTACCACCAAAGGAAAAAGAAGTATAGAAAAGTAATGCTGAAAAGAAACTTCAGTTTCTATTGACCTCGATCCTTTACTTCTCATGAGGCAGAATCACCTATACCTGCAACCTCCTTGAAAAATTAAAATAATGCCCAGTCTTAGTTTCCATTGCTAATCCACTGTGGCACTTTCAGCATCTGCTCATTCACATGGGTGTTCTATGTACACTGCTCAGTCACTCTATCTTTGCTGATGACCCATGCCCCCATATTCTCCCAGATGAGACTTTACAACACTGCTGAGGAAAGGTTCCTATAAAAACTATCTCCCAAAGAATATACCTCTTACAAATGAACTTATGTATTTTCATGTTACCTTCATTGCACTGATAGTTGCACTGACATAATTATGATTTTGTCTGTATTTGCCTACTCTATATACTCAGTTTAGTGATGTAATCTACTCATAATTGTCTGAGCTTCTTTGTGAGACTGAGAACACTGATGAGCTCTGATGTAGTTTATTCTTACTAACCTTCCTAATACCACTTTTGCTTTGGGACATATGTCATTCACTCCATTTATAGAGAGACCTGGTCATTCTTGCTAATGCTTTTCTTTGGTTTATTTCTCATGAAATTCCTCTTATCAATAGTCTTATTTTATAGAAATCTGCTTTTTCCAAGTTCAATGTAATTTTTTTACTTTTCTCTCCCTTTATGAGGACTGTGGTTTCCCATCATGGTACAATTACCAAAACTGATATCATTGCTATTCAAAATAAGTACATGCATCCCCATCAACATTTCACTTTTTTTTCCTGAGAGTTCTATTTTCCTGACAATTCTTTGTCCAACAGTTTACCCTTCTAATCAAACAATTCAGTGTTAAATTATTCAGCCAAATCTCTGTAGTTCTCATAATCCTGAGAATATATTAAGTGTTAAAGGGCCACATATTCCTTCCATTTAAGGTATTCTTCAAACCTTCTTTTGACATCTCTCACTCTCTTTTGGTACCTTTGCCCTTTTGATTGTTTATACCCCAGTTCACATTGAGATAGTTTGTCTTTATACAATGGTGTGAGAATTGTGCTGGGGAGAAGGTACCTAGACAAAAAAGCACAAACCAAGAAAAGCAGATAAACACCTTTTTGTGAGCAATCATCCTAAACAAGAGACATCATGGTAAAGGGCATAAGGGGGAGAGGTAAGCCATGGAGGCATGTTCTGGGATAAGACCAAATGGCACTGACTGTTTAGCAAGCTCTGCACAAAAGAAGGAAGGCAGAGGTATCCAGTAGTTCACAGTACTAATGCTTGATGGCCAGAGTGACTGAAGCTACACCATTCGTGTGTCCCTGCTCTCCTGCCCAGGAGATACAGTGTTTTGGCTGGCCTATGCATGCTGTGCCTTGGATGATGAAAACCTTGCCTGTATTGTCCCTGTTCCCAGATCATGCTCTTCAGTTTTGACTGCCTAATCTTAATTCTCAGTTGGATCAGTTCTCCTGTCTGAGGTAGCAGAAAACAGATGACCAGGAACTCAGGAGAGGTACCTGAAAGATTCCCCCACACTGTCTTAGAAGCAGAGACACTTCGTGGTTGCTTCCTTCCTTGCAGCAGTCATTATGAATTGCCCATCTGCTGGAAGACATGGGGTCTATTTTTTCCTCAGGGAAATTCACATACAATTTTCACCCCACTGAAGGGCACAGCCCTTCCCTGTTGGTGCTGCCATATATCTCCAGCTTCTGTGTTTGGCTGTCCTCAGAGTACTCCATTCCATTATATCAATGTAATTCTAGCCACTGTAGTTTCTCAGCCTAGCCATCACCTCCAGCAGCCCTTCACCCACATGGCACCTCATTCTTGGCTTGCAATGACAGTGATGCCACCTTGCAGCTCACCAGAGCTTGGACAGACATCTCCTAAGCTGATTTCATTTGTGGGTGAGTGTGGCTACTCTCAAAGCAGAAGGAAGCTGAATCAGCAGCACATCTGACTAATGGACAGCATTCCCACCTTCATTCCTAGAAGATCTCCCTAAAGCTCTTGGCCAGCCCCATCCCTGCAGAAGTTGTCTCACACATGTGGCACTGTCAGGCTCTGTCCCCAGGTGTGGCAGTGTGACCTCTCCCACTGCACACAGGCAGACTGCACTCCCCTGCCTTCTTCATCCCTGGCACAAGACACCTGCTGAGAAGTTCCCCAATTTGCTGCTGCCAGGCCCTGGCCCCTGTTAGCTGCTGAGCTAATGCTGTTGAACTCCTCAGCTCTTAAACTTGCACAGGTCAAGATGATAGATTTTAGTTTTCCTTTTTCTTCTTGCAAGCAATGACATAATGGAACCAAGTGGCTCTTCTGGAATAAACAATGCATATTCTAGAGATTACTTGTGTTTACTCTACATGCAAGACCTCCAAAGAAGATTAGAACTTGAGCTCCATACTGTAGCATGGAGATATTCCCTTTCTTTCAGGATGCTGGTGTCCTGTAACATGATGTCTTAGGGTGGCATATGCATTAAGACTTATAAACTGCATCTTTCAAAATTACTTTTTTCCTCATAAATGCAGAAGAAACCATTTTTTGCCTCTTGCATTCATAACTCAATACCTATATGGACATACCCAAAGTTGCACAGCTCAAAATATATAAAACTGTGTGAAATGTAAAAAGAAAATGCAAGTCTTTCCTCATCTATAGTCTTTTTATAAAGCTTGATAGTATTATGACATGAAATAACCATCAAGCTGGCAGACTGATTCTTCTTTTTCTATTCATATTAAATGCAGATGGTCTTAGAGGAGTCTATCATCTGGATGTATGTGCCCACCTGTAGGACACTG